ACTGGATCAGCAAGTGAAAGGTGGTTACCAAACAAGGGTTCATCTTAACCGTAATATCTGAGATTACATGAACAAACAAGTGAAAGGTGGTTACCAAACAAAGGTTCATCTTAACAGTAACATCTCAAGTTAACTGGACCAGCAAGTGAAAGACGGTTACCAAACAAAGGTTCATCTTAACAGTATCATCTCATGTTAACTGGACCAGCAAGAAAAACATATAGGTTTTGAGAAAGATGATATCAAAAATACTACAACAATTAAACTGCATACACAACTAAACAATCATTAAATATTAAATCACAAAATAATAATGCTTATGCAGAACAGTCTTGTATATACAACACTCCTAATGTGCAACATTATATTAACTTTATGTACATTGTTTAACATCTACATCTTTATGACAAATCCTCAACAGACCACTTCCTAATGTACAAGATTACATTAACTTTGTTTAAAAGGTTTAAGACCTACCTCTTTCCTAATACCAGACCTGGCATGTGTCTCTTCTCACAGTTCTGAATGTTTGTCTCTTCTTCTTCATCACTTGAGATAGAGAGATCAATTAATACCTGCCTACCTTCTCTAAGCTGGTGATCCTCTTTAGCTCCAATATCTACCAGTGATGACAAACCAGAAGTAACACCTAAACCAGATAATGAGTCTTCATGGTAAGTAATCACTTGTGTTTTACTTTCAGCATATCCTTTTGTAATACTATTTTCAATTGTAGGTTTTAATCTAGTGAAAGTTTGAGCAGATTCATTAATAAAGACTGGTTTGTGTATTTCAGTTTCACATCTATGTGGTAGTGAACTTGATTCTTTAGCTTCAAACGCAGAATATTTCTCTTTTTGAGGAGATTCCTCATCACTCAAACAAATGCATTCTTGTATTGGCTGCTTCTGAGCCTCAGAACGCTGTTTAAGGCGTTCAGCCAGACTTGGGAGAGAGTCTTCACTGCCACTTTCAGTTGCTTCACTGTTAATCTCAGTATCACTACAGTCCTGGGACATAATTACTGGTGAATGGTTCTTGATTAATTTCCTACATAATTAAAAAGGATGTTATTGTAGATAAGTAAAGTCTTATTAAAGTCACAGTTTAAAATTTATCACAAGTTTTCAAATCAAAGTATAAACACCTTTGGTCATCTTAAATACAGCTGCATTCTTCACTCTTGCATACCTAGTTGTGTAAAATTAGCAGCATATCTTACTCATGTGTTCCATTTTTTTAAAGTTAGTAGCAACCTTCTTTCATCATGTGTGTATGTTATTGTAAGGTTAACACCATTCTTTACTCTCATGTATCTGTTTGTGTAAATTTATCAGCATGTGTGGTTGTGTAAAGTTTGCAGAATTATTTACCCTAATGTGCCCGACTGTATAAAGTTAGCAGCATTTTTCATTCTTGTATGACTGTTTGTGAAGTTAGCAGCATTATCTTACTAGTGTGGCTACCAGGCTTGTGTACCTTCTACACCAGCTCTGAGAATGGAATTTAACATCAACAAGAGGCCACAAATGTCAACCTTCAGACTAGCCATTAGATAGATGGTAAGGAGTCTCTATTTCCACAAGTCAAGGCACCACAAACAAAACAACCCCAGAGGCATCAAGAGTAGGATTCTTAACAAAATCATCGATATTTATTATATAAGATCCCCATTTACAGACTGGAGTGTCAGGTGATGGGTTAACCAACACCATGACAGTGACAAGGACTGTCAATCAGCACCATGACAGTGATAAAGACTGTCAACCAATGCCATGACAGTGGCAAGGACTGTCAATCAGCACCATGACAGTGACAAAGACTGTCAACCAATGCCATGACAGTGACAAGGACTGTCAATCAGCACCATGACAGTGATAAAAACTGTCAACCAACACCATGACAGTGACAAGGACTGTCAATTAGCACCATGATAGTGACAATGACTGTCAATCATCACCATGACAGTGACAAGGACTGTCAATCAGCACAATGACAATGACAAGGACTGTCAATCAGCACCATGACAGTGTCAAGGACTGTCAATCAGCACCATGACAGTGACAAGGACTGTCAACCAACAACATGACAGTGACAAGGACTATCAACCAACACCATGGCAGTGACAAGGACTATCAATCAGCACCACAACAGTGACAAAGACTGTCAATCAGCACCATGACAGTGACAAGGACTGTCAAACAACACCATGATAGTGACAAGGACTGTCAATCAGCACCACAACAGTGATAAAGACTGTCAATCAACACCATGACAATCAATCATCACCATGACAGTGACAAGGACTATCAATCAACACTGTGATAGTGACAAGGACTATCAATCAACATTATGATAGTGACAAGGACTGTCAATCAGCACCATGACAGTGACAAAGACTGTCAATCAGCACAATGACAATGACAAGGACTGTCAATCAGCACCATGACAGTGTCAAGGATTGTCAATCAGCACAATGACAATGACAAGGACTGTCAATCAGCAACATGGCAGTGACAAGGACTATCAATCAGCACCACGACAGTGACAAAGACTGTCAATCAGCACCACGACAATGACAAGGACTGTCAATCAGCACCATGACAATGACAAGGACTGTCAATCAGCAACATGACAGTGATAAAGACTGTCAGCCAACACCATGTATCAACCACCACATTCAAGGATATGCTGACAGGATTAAACTGGGAGGAGTAAAGTCATTTGCTTGCCAATAAGAGTACATTTTGTAAATTTCCTTTTTAATTTAAGGGTGTAAAGTGCATATCTTGTATATCTGTCTACATATTTCTTTTGTTATTTTTTTTTCTTTTGATATGATTTTTTGAGGGTTTATTTGGGTAATGTATTTTTGCTTTGCAAGGGTAATTTTAAGTAATGTTTTAATTTTCTCATTTAGTTTGTTTCAAGACATTTTTTCATTGCTTGTTGTCTTTTAAATCTAGTTTTTTGGACAAAATCTGGAGATTACACTAAAAAAATTACTTGTTCATTCAGCTTTCAATAAGAAGAATGATTGTAAATCAAATAATTTTCTTACTAGAAACAATTGACTGGATGACTTGTATTGTTGAAAATGTAATATATGAAATGACATGTACCCAACGTGATGATATATATACACTGGTTAAACCAATTATCTAGTAAATAATCACTTTAATGAATACATTCTTGCCACCATGAATCTTGATTCTAAAGAGGTCACTGCAAAACACCTTCTAATGAAACATGGTACAGTACACAAAACATGATTTAAGTTCTTAGCAAAATATAAATTTTCTTGATCATAAATTCACTTAGTCCCACATGATTCAATCTCCTAAACCTAAAACAAAGAAAATAATTCTTATCTTTTCTAATTATTATTTTGTTTTTGTTTGACAGCTTGTGATTTTCCATCACTTGGTGATTCTAGTTCATTTTTATTCATGTGTGCAACAACACAACATTACTATTGTTAAGTCAGTTGATAACTGTTTTGTGTTCTTTTCAGTTATCAGTTTGTATATATATATGTGTGTGTGTGTGTGTGTGTGTGTGACACTGTAACCTTTGAGAAGGGTACAAGCTAAAATGTCAAGTTTAAATAAGTTTTTTTTATGGAAGGTGGTTAGTCATTTTTTGCAAACATGATTTGAATTCTCCAGTCTGGTCTGCAAATCATAAAACTGACAGATTTTTTTATTTTGTATTGGCATGTTATATTTTCTTGTTCTGGGTTAGTCATTTCCTACCTTGCCCAAATTTACATTTGTGTCCCCTAGTCCTACTATTTTTGCCATTAAGTATGAAAAAATATGATGCATCAGCACCATCAATTCCCTTTACAATCTTAAATACCTCAATCAGATTCCCTTTAGCTCTTATTTGACAGATTTCAACCTCTTCTCATTTGATAACCCCTCCATCTCCAAGAACCATTATAGTAACCCTCCTTTCATATAATTCAATGTCCTTCCAAGTTCCCTAGGGTAAGGAACCCAAACTGAATACAATACTCCAAATACAGCCTAACCAGTGACCTATGCAATGAAATTATAACTTCTTTTGATTTGCATCCAATATTTCTGTAGATACAACCTAAAATCATATTTGCCCTGCCACTAGCAAGAGCATATTCACCATATTGTTTGGATGACTTAAGAAATTGATCAACCACAAAATGTGTAAAGTTATTAATTTTATAACTTATACTTATCAACACTAGTAAACTATAATTAAAAAGTAATAGAGCAGCTATGATAGAGCCAGATCTTATGGATTCTTAGTTTTTGCCTTACGACAAAACATGTTCATTGTTAATTATAATTAAAGTCGATGTAAATACAAGAGACAATGGGCGAAAAGTTTACACTAAAGTAAATACTAATTCATAATCATACTATGATGCTACAGTAGTACTTTTGTTTGTTATTATCATAACATTATATTAAAAAGCACATTTACGATTTAGGATTAAACCTTAAATAGACAGTGATGGAGCAACTGTTCAATAAGTTGGTCGGCTCAGCGTCAATTAAACTAATTTAGGTACAAATGTTACTTACTAATGACGTAATGTGGGTAACCGTAATGTCAAAATTACAGATTTCCGTCCAATATATTACTGGTGGTTATATGAATCTTCTTCGTTGAAATCAAATACGAGTTAAATAACACATTAATATGTGCAGCAGGAAGTACAAAATCAAATCAATAATGATAAACTGATTCCTCTAACCTGGTATCATGTTTAACGTAAAATAAAATAATATATGAAATTGGCGCCTAGAGATATTTACTTTAACTAGTTAGTTACTTCTCTCAAAATCCCTCTACTGGCGAAAACAAAACTCCTCTATTTGCATGTTGTAAAAAAGGAGAGAACGAACTTAGAAGTAATTCTATTAAATAAAATGGATAAACAGAGTTAAAAAACACAATCCATAAACACTTAACATTCTTAAAGATATTCACTGTTAACAACAATGAACATGCTATGAATGAAAAAGTAATAATTACTTAATCCATCCATATCCCCGGTGGTAAAGCATTTGTTTTGTTTTTTGTTTGTAATTAAGCACAAAGTTACACAATGAGCAATCTTTGTTCTGCCCACCACGGGTATCGAAACCCGGATTCTGGTGTTGTAAGTCCGCGGACATACCGCTATGCCACTGGGGGGGGGGGCCTGGTAAAGCAGCTAATAACTTTAATTTGGAAGAAATTTGAATATTACAACTTTATGTGAAAGTAATATGATATTGTTACGCCTCCAGTCGTTACTTAATTTTCCGTAAATTAGTTCCGACGAAACTTTAGCGACACAAGTCCTTTTTTAAATAAAACTGGTTTATTCTTTCCGAATACAACTTTACCGATACACTTAATTTCAACAGTCGCTCTATAACAAACGCTAGAGAGTCTCACGTGCTCGTGCTCGACAATACTCAGTTCAATTACACAATACCTCTCCGTCGCTTCGTGGCCGGTCTTCTATATACAAGACTACACTATATCTAGAAAGATCACGAGATTTAAGGAAAAGACGTGAAAATTCGAGAATGACGTGGCATGATACTAGTCACGTGACCTCGATGTCGTAACACTGCCCCTTCCTTAGTATTGTTTGTCCCGAACAATAGCCACTTACATTAAACCAAT